TTCTGAGATTAAAGTCAGAATTCTAACTTTTTTCCCATACTATACTGAAATAAAATAAAAAAAAATCAGTTAACATTTTTTTTTTTTTCCAGTGGCCCTAATCCTCTTCCGTACTGCTGCCACCATCTGTATTAGAGGGAAATAAATGGTAGGGGTGGCCAATGATTGGCTAAGGGTGGCCCCCCATCTAGCTCCGCCCCTGTCCCCCAAGGTTTGTTTATGTTTTACTTTATTTCAGTTGATTAGAATTATTTGAGCGTTCAGGAAGGTGAATTGCTCAAAATAAATTTCTTCTACTAAGTTGAAAGTAAACATTTCACAGTAGATTCATACTTCAAATAATTTAGCTGATTGAGTTTACTGACTTTTTTACTCGGGTTCATTTCTCTGAGGTTATTTCAAATAAAAAGCATCAGTAAAGGCGCTGCTTTAAAATGAGGAGCAGATCATCTGTTAATATTGTTGTTCATAGATAGACTTTCCAGATAGTGACGCGCACCAACACCTCAGGTCACGTGACCACAGCAGGCGCACAAAGCGCAGCTTTATAAGCGCCCCTCATCCAAAGCAGCGCACAGCCAGTCTGCCTCTGCTGTCTGACTGAAAGCTCCAAACGGGATTATTTACCTGAGATTATCTCCGAAACACAAACTCCTGCTATAAACATCTTACTTTTAGGAGTTTGTTTTTTTCCAGGAGTTTTATTTTCCTTTGCATGGATTACTGCGGGATATTCGGAGCGAAACGACGAAGGTTTGTGTTTTCCAAACTCCACAACCTGCAAATATTGTCACGATTTATACTTTTCAATATTCTATATATATATATTTAAATCATGTATTTAATTGTTGCTTATTCGTTTGGTCTTCTTAGACGTCTTATTTCAAAAGAATCATGTAAATCTGAGTGTAAATAATTAATGTCATAAGTACCAAATGTTAATGCTTCATGGATCAGATATGGTTAATCCCGGAATTGGCCCCATGATGCCTAATTAATCCAGTGATTACAGAAAAAACACCCCATTATAATGCTTAATGACCTGCTTTAATTAAGGCAAATGCCGCTGATTCCCTTTATACCCCCCCTCCCACCCTGAGGGTTGCACAGGTTTGTCAACTGTTCAGTTTCCCACTATTGTTTGGGATCCAGCTGAGAGTTGCTGCTGATGCACAGATTCCCTTAAAACCTCCCAGAAAAAAATCTATCATTCCCTTCATTTATAATTTTTATTTTTCAATGGGAAAATAAAACAACTTCCAAGTGTAAAAATCGTTAAAGGTGAATTATTTTAATTGGTAATGGAAACCAAACATTTTCTTGTTTTTGTAGATGTTCTTTCACCTGCGTCTGATGCTGTTACACAACACGCCTCTTCACTGAGCATTTCTGCAGCCATGAAGTTGGCTGCGCACAGGATGGCAGGCACAGCGATGAGCACGCTCACCACAGGTGTGCAGTATCTGGGCTCCAACGACGCCAGCTACGACGACCCCTCCATCGACTCCGGCCTGGCGAAGAACAGGTTGGGCTTTCAGAAACCTCACCCTGCCTCCGTCTCCAGCTCCTTCCCCGACCTCGTCCTTGGAAACAAGGATGTCGTTTACACTGCCCTCTTTCCTGTATTTCCCACCAACATCTCAGACTTGGTGTTGGGTAACTCCACTGCTGTGGAGAGTGTAGATGCTTCACAGTGTGCAGAGAACCTTGTGGACAACCTAGAGTGCTTCATGATCCTTACCCCTAGTCAGCAGCTTGCAGTTGCCATCTTAGCGCTCACTCTGGGTACTTTCACTGTGCTGGAGAACTTTGTGGTCCTCTGTGTGATCCTTCACTCCCAGACTCTTCGATCCCGTCCTTCTTACCACTTCATCGGCAGCCTGGCTGTGGCCGATCTCATAGGAAGCATCATTTTTGTCTACAGCTTCTTGGACTTCCATGTCCTCCACAGAAAGGACAGCCCAAATGTTTTCCTGTTCAAGCTGGCTGGAGTCATTGCCTCCTTCACCGCCTCCGTGGGCAGTCTGTTCCTCACCGCCATCGACCGCTACATCTCCATCCACAGGCCTATGGCGTACAAGCGCATCGTCACAAAGACGAAGGCGGTGATTGCCTTCAGCATGATGTGGACCATCTCTATTGTCATCTCGCTGCTGCCGCTGTTGGGCTGGAACTGCAAACGCCTCGGCACGGTCTGCTCTGATATTTTCCCTCTGATTGATCAGAGGTACCTCACCTTCTGGATTGGAATAACAAGCGTCCTGCTGTTGTTCATCATCTACGCCTACATGTTCATCCTCTGGAAGTCCCACCACCACGCCGTCCGCATGCTGAGCCGGACCTCCCAGAGGAGCGTGATCGTCTACACTGCGGACGGCGCCAAGGTTCAGACCGTGAGGCCTGAGCAGGCCAGGATGGACCTCCGCCTGGCGAAAACCCTGGTCATGATCCTGGTGGCCCTCATCATCTGCTGGGGCCCGCTCCTAGCCATCATGGTGTACGACCTCTTCGGGAAGGTGAACGACTTCATCAAGACCGTGTTCGCCTTCTGCAGCATGCTGTGTCTGCTCAACTCCACCGTGAACCCGGTGATCTACGCCATGAGGAGCAAGGACCTGCGCAGGGCCTTCCACAACATCTGCAACATGTGGCGCGGCGGGTCCCAAACTCTGGACAGCAGCGGAGAGAGCGACTGGAACAGCAGGAGCGTGAGAGCCGCTGCAGCAGCAGCTGCTGCAGCAAGCAGGGCGGGGAAAGGTGGTGGCAGCTGTGAAAAAATGCAGAAGAAAGCAGCTCAGGTTCGAGTTTCTGGAGGTACAGAGTCTTCTACAGCAGAGCCCGTCTGAAGCCAAGCCTGCTTCTTTATAACTGTGAAGCTAATAGTGTTGTATAGTCTCTGGTCTGCTAGCTTTGTTACTGCAAATGTGTGCCAAAAACCACTGATACAAAATAGATCATAGAACTTTATGTCCTTTTCTTTAAAAAGTGGATTCTCATCATTAATCAAGAAAGACACATTTTTATGTTTCTTTTATCTTATAGGAGGATCTATTGGTGCTTTGTTGCCTTCGCTCCAGCTTAAAATGTAGAGATTAGCTCAGTATCCTCCTCTGTGTTGTATTTTTTATTTATTTTATTATGAGCTAATGTGAAAATGTTATTTATTTATTTATTTATTTATTTATTTATGAGTCGTCTTCTAATGTTTTTAAAATGAACAAGTTTTACAACATTTCTGCATCGCCTTGTTTCCCGTAACAGTATTTGCCAACAAGTAGGAATTCTGTAAAGTGTGATTTAGATCTATTTTTGTTCACGTTTTGTTGAATTGTTCGGTGTCTTTTTGAAGTAAAATGAATTTCCTAGCCTCATGTCAATTAAAAGCTTTTTTTTCCTGCTTTGCCTTTTTGAAGGTTTCGGTTTGTTACCATATAGGTGGGTGTTCCCCACGGTTTCCCAAACTGTAGCATCATCGAGTGCATGACATTGCATAGTTGACTGCAGAGATCCCTCAATGAAAGTGGAGAGGAAACACTGGAACATAACATTCAACCATTCATTATAGAAAGACAGTACAGCTGCAAACAGAGACATTTCCACCTAATGGGAACTTAACATGAATGTCTCTGGATGAAGAGAGGAAGTTAGAGGCTCCAGCTGCTTTCCTAATCCAGGTACCGCATCTTGCTTTCTAAATCCAGCTGAATGAACTTCATTTCTAATCTGGATTTTGAAACCATAAAATGTTGCTCTCAGGGACAATAAAGTAAAAAAAAAAAAGTGAAATGCTGAAATATTTCTGTCTGACCCAGCTCTAAGAGCAGTGAGAAGTTGCCAGATGATTTAGAAAACATTGCTTCTTTTCAATTGATAACACTGCCCCCTTCTGAACATATTAAGGAATTAGATTTCGATAAAAAGCATAGAGCGGTCTGCAGGTATATGCATGAATTTCAGCATAAAAAAATAGCATCTACATAATTGATTTTAGAAACAATAGGCCTTTTTGACAATATTATTCTACTATATGATTATATTGCATAACAAATTATATTCTTATAATAGTTTATGTTTCTGCCTTTTAGCTTACAGTTCTGTTTTTCTTTGATTATTAATAACAATTAATGAGATGTCATATTTTGGCCTACAGAATCACAGGGAAAGATGTTTGCCTAATATTGTCTTAGAGAATGGGATTAAACTCTTAGCATTGTAAGAAAACTATATAAGTTCATTAACAAATATTGGTTATTCACAGGGTGCTGTATGAAAGGATTTTTATGAAAAGTGGAAGGAAAATCTGTGCCAGAAAAAGATGTTACAAGTCAAATTAGTTGCATCCTTTGCTTCTTTGTGGAAAGGTTTTATGAAGATGCTATGGTTTCGTTTTCCAGGGCGCTTTGAAATTGACCCCATACCAAAAATATAAGTACTTAAGGACTGGCAGGTGTGCTGTCACTAAGCTTGTTCAGAAAACAGGGTGGCAAAAAGCAGAATCTACACGGTTCCAAAAGGAAAAGTAGCAACCACAACATCCATATTTTCTACATAAAGACTAACTATAATTTCCTATTATGAATAAAATTCATATCTACATGTACTAATATCACATTAAATGGATTAATTATTATTAAAATAGTTATTTATCTCTGAAGGCTCGTAAATGACTTGCAGAGACATCATTTTCTCTTTACCCCATAAGGCAATATCTTCTTTCAAAAAGAGCAGAATTTCTGTATTTATCATCTTTAATGTTAGTATATTGGTGTGCATAATTAACCGCAGTGTTTTTGTTGTCAATAAACTGTTAACATATGAAAAATGTAAATGTTAAATAAGTTAGAACATTCTGCTTGTGAGTAATACTGCTGCAAACATCTGTATTAGAGGGTAGGGGTGGCCAGTGATTGGCTAAGGGTGGCCATGGCCCCCCTGTCCCCCATCTAGCTCCGCCCCTGGTCCTAAATACAACAGAAAATAAAAGAGAAATTAGACTAAACTCAGCTAAACTCAGGACAAGCTTGAAAGAAAACACAAAAGAGACTAAATATTGGGCTAAAAGTTAAAGAAAGCTTCAGACCTTCAACTGCTTTTATTTAATTATGAATCTAATTAGGTTCCATTTTATAAACCAACAGAGGCGCCAGAACCTAACGGTCAATCTACACTGTTCCAACAGGAAAATTAACGAGCAAAAAATTCATATTTTTCTACATAAAGACAAACTATCCTTTCCTACAGCCTTTTAAAAGGCTCTTTAAACGTCTGTCCTTTCTACATAAAAGGTATAGAAGATCGAAATCTTTCAGGTTTGAGTTCTGCGGCGAACATCTTTTCCATTGTCATTACTTACCTAACTTTATCAATAATCATTCTGCATAAAATTGATATTTACAAGTACTAATATCTGCAGAAATTGATCATTTATTATGTTTTTATTAATTTAGTTATCTATGATTTCACTGAAAACTGCTAGATGACTTTTTTTACCCCATAAGACAAAATCTAGCTCTGAAAAGAGGATGAATTCTGTATTTGTCATCTTTATTGTTAGTATTTTGATGTGCATAACCACATTAACCACAGTGTTTTTTGGTCAAGTAATTGTTAATATATAAAGATTTTGAATATTTTGAATATTCCACTTGAGATTCTTACTGCTGCCACCATCTTTATAGAGGGAAATAAATGGTAGGGGTGGCCAATTAATTACTATAGGTTGCCATGGCCCCCCCTGGCCCCCCCATCTAGCTCCGCCCCTGGTCCTAAATACAACAGAAAATAAAAGAGCAATTAGAAGAAGATAAGACACCCCAGAATAAATGATTAAGGGCATTATTAAAGTAATCCGGGCATTCTGAACAACCAAGCAAAATCCCAAACGGTTTTGTACTTAAAACAGCCACAAACTGAGGCAAAAGTTCGTCGCTAAAAGTGACATTACCAGAATAAAGATAATTAAACCATTTAAATATTTGACCTGCATGGTCCTAACCATATATAGAACCAGTATCCTGAGTTTTTCTGGAGGATTTAAAAGAAAAATATGGACCAGAATAAAAGTAACAGACATTTTTGTACTAAGCATCCCAGAAAAATCAAAATTGAACTTATTATAAAAAGATAATATAATTCGTAAAAGGTTCACTATTTTATTGCAGTCTTTAAAATGTCACAACAATATTTATTCAAATACATTTATTTCCTAAACTCTTCCAGTTTTCGTCATCTCCTTTCAGGATTGTAAGATGTGACGAGTCCACACTCCTTACCAGTTGGTGGCGGTAATGCTCACCTAACGTTTTTGCCAACCGCCATAAAAAAAATTCAAGAAGAAGATGTGACGTCAGGAGGCGGAGCCGCCAACAGCCTCGTATCAGAAAACAAGCTGCTAGGTAGCGTTAGCTCGCAGCAGCGTTCGCTCTCCACACCAACAGTTGGCCGCTGCTGGCTGGTCGGGATTTTTAACTTCTGAAAAACAACTCCCGTAACAAAACTACGAAGAAAAACTTCCCTGGACCTATTTCAGCTGTAAAGGTAAAAAAATAACCTCCATATAGATGCAGTGTGGGGTCAGCGGTAGTCTTAGCTAGTGTTAGCTTTGTTTTCTTTTTGCTTATTGGCTTTGAGGCGAAGCTAGCGGACCGCTGGTTAAATCCTTTACATCACAGTGTGTTCAGTGCTTTTCTTCTGGTAAATCGAAGCTCGCATATCAATTTTATTATTTCCCTGCGTTTCTAAACCTCCCTCTCCCTTTGACAACTTTCAAGTCATGGCGTGTGGAGCCACCCTGAAGAGAACCATGGATTTCGATCCATTGATGAGCCCCGCGTCCCCTAAAAGACGGAGATGCATCCCGGTGGCCCCGTCGGCTTCCTCACCGAGGAGGTACCTCAGCATGGAGCCCTCGCCGTTTGGAGAGTCGTCGTCTAGACTCAGCGCAGGTAAACTTGGCTACTGTTGGTTAAACTGGCCTCCTGTCCTGGATGAACAGTTTCTCAGGTTTCTGATGTTGGGCTCAGTAACGTGACTGATGAACTCTCCCCTTTATCTGTGGTTTCACCAGAACAAATCCTGAACAACATCAAGCAGGAGTACAAACGTATTCAGAGGAGGAAACATCTAGATGGAGGCCACCAACAACTAGAGTGCTGTTATTCTCCAGACTCCCCTTCCCAGTTAGCTATGAATGTCTCCAGCATGGCAGGTTGGTGAAGGACCAATAAAGGCCTCTTTTATTACAGTTTTCCATGTGTTGATAAAAAGAAAAAATAATTCTATTATAATTTTCACACCATTTTAAAATGTTATTAAACCATTAATCAATGTCTAGAGCACGAGGATCATTGTTGATCACAAAAAAATGATACAATATACTTAATTTTTTCCCATTATCAGAAAAAAAAGTGAGACACAAATCAAAGCAGTCTGTTATGGTTACAGTATTGTACTTTAGCTGCTAAAAAAAAATGTAGACGGATTTTATTTATTCTCATATCAATTCATACAACTAAATATCTTGTTTTTAAGCTCTACACATTTTTAAGCATTTTCTAATTACCTTAGAGCCACGGTTAAATAACATAATTTTATTAATTTGCTGTTGAATATAAATAATACTAGTACAGGGGTGGAGCTAGATGGGGGCAAGGCCACCCTTTACTGATCATTGGCCACCCCTACCATTTTATTTCCCCTCTAATACAGATGGTGGCAGCAGTAATACACTCAATTGGAATATTTTTCATATATTCATAATTACTTGACAACAAAAACATTTCATTATGCACATCAATATCCTTACATTAAAGGCAAGTACAGAATTCGTGCTCTTTTCAGAACTAGATTTTGTTATATGTGGTAAAGAGAAAATGCAAGTCATCTAGGAGTCTTCAGTGAAATCGTAGATAAATAACTATTTTAATACAAACGTATTCAATAATACGTTTTTGTAGATATTATTACTTGTTAATATCAGTTTGATTGTTGATATTAGTAGATAAGTAATGACAAAAAGAAAAGAAATTAAAACCTGACAGAATTGTATCCATATTACCTTTTATCTAGAAAGCATGGATGTTTAAATATATGCCCCTCAGCCTTTAGGTGTTGTGCATTTGTACTTCCTGTGAACGCTCCATGTTTCTTCTAACAGGGCCGTCCTCCGGTGGCGTCTCCCCAAGCAGAAAAGAACAACCGTTGTTCACCCTCAGACAAGTTGGAATGATCTGTGAACGCCTGCTCAAAGAACGAGAAGACAAAGTGCGGGAGGAGTACGAGGAGACCATGACCTCAAAACTGGCAGGTAGCTACTTTTCCAATGATTCAATCTATGCTGCATCTACATGCATTATACAAATCATTTCAGTTTATAACATCCTTGGTGCAAATCTTTTTTTTTTAACTTATCAGCATAGTAAATCACTTATTTAATCTGTAAAAGATCAGAGATGTTTAAAAACAGCTTGTGGCGATATTTTGAGAATGATTGCTGCAGTATTTTGTCTAACAACATACTGCAACCAATTAGGCCTTTTTGGGGCGTTCATAAATAACCATAGAGCAGGACTGATTGACTCTCTGCCGTTTCTTTTCCAGAACAATATGACACCTTTGTGAAGTTCACACATGATCAGTTGATGCGGCGATTCGGCGAGCAGCCTGCAAGCTGTGAGTTCTTTCCCTTTTATTTTCACATTCCTGCTTCGCTGGCACGGCGTCAGGAAGTTCAAACCAACCGATCTGAGTTCTATATTTCACCTCTGCTTTTCTCCAGATGTTTCCTGAGTGTGGCACAGAAGAAGACCTCCTCCGGCTGCAAGCCGTCATGTGATCTCTGGCAGAAGAGTTCTCATCCTAAGAGATTTAATTTAGCTAGTTAAAATGAAACTTTTCTGGCTGTGCCATATATCAGTCTTTACGCGAAGCGGTTGTTGGCACTCGAGTGGCAGCAGCTTGGTGCTTCCTGGTGTAAATTAATGGACCCTATCTCTACAAGTGGCCTCTGTTCCCCCCCAGCTCTACGCAGCGATGCAGTTATCTCCCTTTTTCTATCGACTCCCAGCATTCCAGGCTTTGTTTCTGTTACAGATGAGGCGCTGCAGAGTTTTACAAGGTTTACTGCTCAATCTAAAAAGTGAATGGAGTGGTTCGGCACCATTTCCCTCATTTATTGCTTTTTAAATCAAGTAGGTAAATGCTTTTTTTTCTTCTTCCAACCAGTTTCTATTTATTTTGTCCAACTGGTATCATTTTTGCAACCAATGTACTCGAATGGAGAAAAAATAAATGGAGAGCTAAATCTTTACTTGTGGAACTTTTTTAATCTGTTGCTTTTAGTTCTTTCTTGGTGGGGCGGGGTCAAAAATATCAGACCAGTTTACTTTGACATCAAACAAGAACCAGGCCATGGGTAACGTCTTCAAACACAGCATTCCAGGTCAGACTGAAGACTTCAGTGACCCTCTGAGCCGTTCCCCACAAATGGAGATAATACAGAACAGTGACCAGCCTTCCCAGGAGCAGACAGCTTACCAACTCTAAGAACTCAAGGTCAAACCAGGGGAGAAACATCTAATACTCTAGACAATAAATCATATTTTAAATGTAAGAAAAGGAGTAAAGGCCTGCTTGAGTTCCAACACAAACACTAGTTAAAACCCTTTTAGGCCTGTCACTCAAAAGTCCGCCTGGCATTTTTTTACTTGTTTAAAGTAAAAAGTAGGAAGAAAAAGTCCTGTGGCCAAGTGCTTCAGCACATTTTTCCAGAATCATTTAGAGCTTTCAATAAATGCATTATTTTACATTATTCTTGATACTAAACCACTATTAAAACTGTTTGATATCAAGAAAAAACAAAAATCGAAATTAGATTTTGGAGATTTTATGCAAATAAAACACTGCATTTGAACATGAAGTACAGATTTTGCATCACAAATTGACAATTTCAACACTATAGAACATATTTACAATATTTTTTTCATTCTCAATTATTTTTACAAATAAGAAACAGACTAACAATTAAAACTATTTACAGGCGATTTTCCCCTCTCTGCATTTCTGTCCAGGAGAACTTCCTCCCTTTCTCCAGGTTCCTGGCTGCCCAGTTGTTGGTCAAATAACAAACTAATGTGAGGACTTCATTGTCAAAAAA